GGTTTCCCGAGTCCTGGTCCATCATTCTATCCACTGTACCACACTGGGTATACTGACTTATTTTAGCAACATGGAAGCATGTATTTCACTTCCTCTACTTTATTTCTTCTCTTGGGTTATGATCAGTAGAATTTTTCAGGACTTGTGTAGGGTTTTAGGTGACACCTGATAAATTTTGGAACTACTCAAACATGCAATCAGTGCTAATGTGACAGATGGGAGTGATTGTCAAAGGTACTTAATGGATAGCACCCCTGAGCTCATTGTGAACCAGGTGCCACTCTCCCCCTGCCTTGACAGTGCAGTTTTGGTGTTGTTTTAAAGAGTTTGTGAAACCTTATTAAATGCTGTGAATTATGCATGGTTTTCTGTTTTGTCTGGAAGAAATCTTATAAACTCTGAAAGCTAGTGTGGAATTATCTGGAAATATTTTGCCATTTCAAGAATCTTTCCTTATTTTTTAAAAAGTCTTTTCTTTAAGGATATATTTTTCTTTCTCATGGTTTACCAGCACAGATTATTCTTTTTCTGTTTGCTTAAAGAAGCATATGGCCTCATACCTTGTGGCAGGTCTGCTCCTATAGAAACAAGATCTCATTCTCATATAATCACCCACCCACCCCCATTACATCAACATTACACATCTGTTGCAGTGTTGGTAGCAATGCCAGAGTAGCGCTCATGGAGAGGACACTTCTGTCACTGTATAAAAATGTTTGTTATTGGTGTGAACATATGTATGTGCATTTTGTTCTGTATGAGAAAGTCTTATTTTCTTTAAGTGTGGAATATACTCTGTGCTACTGATACAGATGAAACATTTAACATCGTGTTCAGATTGAGATTGATCATGGACTTTGTTCTTTCCCAGCTTGAAAGTGGCTTCATTTCCAATGAGGAGAGCAAGCAAAAGTTGATACCTATCATGACTATCTTACTTGAGGAACTGAATGCTACTGGGAAATGCACTCTGCCTATAGGTATAGTCTACAAACACATGATTGCAATCTGTAACTTGAAAAGAAGTATATTGAAAATGGAAGTGGGTGACTCCTGGGGAACAGCGCAAACATTTTCTGTAACTGATTTAAACTTTAGCAAAAGTCATAGCTTCTTTAGGTACTCCCAGAATGGAACAAGCCTGGCTGTGCCATGTGAAAGAGGTCTCATTGTTAAAGTGCAGGACAGAAGTCTCCATTCGGCAATCCCAGCACAGGATTTCACAGCGCCTTTTCCTCCTTTTTGCAGATGAATCAAATACCATTCACCTGAAAGTGATTGAGCAGCGCCCAGATCCCCCCATTGTGCAAGAGTATGATGTTCCTGTCTTCACCCAAGACAAAGATGACTTCTTCAATTCCCAGTGGGATCTCACCACTCAACAGGTTGGTTCACATAGGTGGAAGGGACAGCTTGGGTCCTGCTCTCAAGTTACACAATACTATGACGACAGTGCAGAAAAGCTCCCCAGTTTCCCATCCTTGAGACAACTTATTCCTACTTGGTCTTAGAGTTTCATTTGGAGGCCAAGAGGCAAGTTATCACCTGGAGGTCATAGTCTGGGCTGCCTGGTTCTGTAGCTCGTGTTACAACGTCCCACAGTCCTGAATGTTGGCTGGGCAGAGTGGAGCTTTTGAACATTGTAGTCCAAGGATATATAGAACTCCCAGGTTTGAGGACCATTATCCTGTACCTCAGGATGGGAGATGTGTGGCTTAGCAGGTGCTTTTGGACTGCAACGCCATCATCCCTCATCCTCGGCAGTGCTAGCTGAGGCTTATAGGTGCTGCGATCAGGCAACCTTTGGAAAATCACACACTCCCTGCTGCTGCTATACATAGTTGTTTAAACAGAAATACCACTGAGTTAAATGGGATTTACGTCCCCCCCCCCCAAATAAACATGCACAAAAGGCAGCCTTAATTTTCAAAGCTTTGTTTAGGTCTCAGGCTACTGTATGTGTAATATTTTTTAAATCTTTTTAAGATGATGTTGTGCTCTTCATTATTCTTTATGAGGGAAAATTACAGTGGTGCCTCGCATAACTGTTTTAATTGGTTCCAAAAAAAACGTTATGTCGAGGGAAAATTATTCAGTAATCAAGTTACTAGTCTTTCCAGTTCAGCTTGTGAAAACTGTCCGCCTTGATATATATGCTCTTTCTAGATTCTACCGTACATTGATGGATTTCGGCATGTTCAGAAAATTTCAGCTGAAGCAGACGTGGAGCTCAATTTGGTTCGCATTGCCATCCAGAACCTCTTGTAAGTGGCAGAGGTAAAAATCAGAAACAGCTTTGATTGTAACAACATCAGAACCCTTTTGCACAGGGCATCTTATCCTTCTTGTTTTCCTGCCCTCCTCCTCTTTTAGCTTCCCTTTTCTATCCCTTCATTTAGTTTCCCTGCAAAATTTGAAACCAAATAATCAAAAGCAAATAAATAAATACATAAATAAATACATAAATAATAAACTAGTTAATTAATAAGTAAAAATTCTTCCTTTGAAATTGGGTGGTGCTACGCATGACACCAAATTTGCCGCTTAGATTTTTACGAGGAACAGCAAGTGTCCAAAGGCCACATGCTATGTAGGGAGGGGAAACCTGACCTTTCTCTCTCTGACCACAGTTCCCAGCCATGAAAATTGCTCCTTCCACATTGTTTTAGCCATAGTGGAAAAGCTTCCCACTGATGTAAATGGAAAATTTCTGGTCTTAAAAATGAAGAGAGAACAATATTTGTCTAGATTGTAGCAGGGGAGGGGTTAAACTTCCCTTTATAAATAAATAAATAAAAAGTAAAAATTCTTTCTTTGAAATTGGGTGGTGCTATGCATGACACCAAATTTGCCGCTTAAATTTTTACGAGGAACAGCAAGTGTCCGAAGGCCACATGCTATGTAGGGAGGGGAAATCTGACCTTTCTCTCTCTGACCACAGTTCCCAGCCATGAAAATTGCTCCTTCCACATTGTTTTAGCCATAGTGGAAAAGCTTCCCACTGATGTAAATGGAAAATTTCTGGTCTTAAAAATGAAGAGAGAACAATATTTGTCTAGATTGTAGCAGGGGAGGGGTTAAACTTCCCTTTCATATTTACTGCACTTTCCATGAATGGTTGAATGGGTGCCTGCTAATAATTTTTAAAAACCAAGACTCCTGTTTAGTATTACATCTTCTTTTACTTCATCAGTAAAATTTTGATCTTTTTGGGGGGTGGGGTACGGTTTTTTGGGCGGGGAGACAGAATTGTGCTGTTGCTGAAATGTTTAAACTTATAACCTTCCCTTCTCAGCAAATGCACACAAGAAATTCAGTTTTGTCCGAGTGTACAGAGGAAGGCCTCCGCATCAAGACATGTAATGAATTTGTGCCCAGTGTAAACATGTAACATTCCTTCAGAAATTAAGTTCTCGTTATTCTGAGAGTAACACAGGTTTTTGAGTGTCTATTAAGCCATATTTAGGAAACAGCTAATGCACTATCTATATGTAAAAAAAAAAATCTATCTTGTGGCAATGCCCCATCTTTAAAAGGCGTTCCACCAATTACTGTCATACATGTATAAAACAATTTTGATCTTTTTGGGGGGTGGGGTTTGGTTTTTTGGGTGGGGAGACAGAATTGTGCTGTTGCTGCAATGTTTAAACTTATAACTTTCCCTTCTCAGCAAATGCACACAAGAAACTCACTTTTGTCTGAGTGTACAGAGGAAGGCCTCCACATCAAGACATGTAATGAATTTGTGCCCAGTGTAAACATGTAACATTCCTTCAGAAATTAAGTTCTCGTTATTCTGAGAGTAACACAGGTTTTTGAATGTCTATTAAGCCATATTTGGGAAAAAGCTAATGCACTATATGTAAAAAAAATCTATCTTGTGGCAATGGCCCATCTTTAAAAGGCGCTCCACCAATTACTGTCATACATGTATAAAAATTACATCCAGTCCTCTCAGGCAATATTTTCACCACAGCAGGCCAGTGTCTCCTACTTTTTTCTTTTTCCTTTTTTTCCTTTTTTTTTTTTTGTCTTTTTTATTGTCATGCTTGAAGTTTAGTCTTTTGTCCAATTTCTAAAGGCTTTTGTGTTTTTCAGATACTATGGAGTAGTAACACTTGTCTCCATACTTCAGGTAAGTGTAGTAGGGTCAGTGGCTTAACTATCACAGAACAAAAGAGTGAAGATAGCTCACATCATGTAATTGTTTTTGTTTCACTCAGTTTGTACATTTACATCAATGTGATGAGAAACTGCTTTTGTACATGTTTGTCTAAATCGGATCTCCCCCTAGACAGCGTGGCCCTTAAAGTACCTGCTTTTGATTTTTAATAAAGAAGGAGTGCCGTACATTTTATAACTTGTTCCCACTGACTTTTTGTCCAATTTCTAAAGGCTTTTGTGTTTTTCAGATACTATGGAGTAGTAACACTTGTCTCCATACTTCAGGTAAGTGTAGTAGGGTCAGTGGCTTAACTATCACAGAACAAAAGAGTGAAGATGGCTCACATCATGTAATTGTTTTTTGTTTCAGTTTGTACATTTACATCAATGTGATGAGAAACTGCTTTTGTACATGTTTGTCTAAATCGGATCTCCCCCTAGACAGCGTGGCCCTTAAAGTACCTGCTTTTGATTTTTAATAGTGCTGTACATTTTATAACTTGTTCCCACTGACTTGTTATAGCTTAGAAATTGGATTAAGCAAACCCTTGTTGAAAAATATTTATATCTAAGTGCGCACACATGTATACGTGTAGACTAATAACATTTCACAGAGAAAAAGAATATCTAAATTCCACTGAAAAAGAAAGCACAAATTCATGAGCACCTACCTGCAGGGAGCATATAAACTTCCTGTTACAGAGAGCATGTAATTCCTCTGTTACAGCAGCATCACTGGCTAATGGTTCATTTCTGAGCCCAATTCAAAGTACTATTTGTAACCTACAAAGCCCTTGGGTATCTAATGGACTGTGTCTCCTAATACAATCCTCCTCAAGTCTTAAGAGCTATATTTTAGCATAATGAGATTCCCTAAGTCACCTTGGTTAGTTATCAGAAGCAACCGTTTGTATATAGTTCCAGGTTTTGGTCCATAGAACAGTGTTTTTCCAGTGTGAATGAGTGATCTGCATTACCCATCATACAGATATGGTTTCATGGTTCTCCCAGTTTTAAATGAGTTTTCAGCAGAACGTTACGAAATGTGTGGCAACTGAGTTAATTTTTTTTTTTAATTGACAGGAGCGAGTCCAAACAGTAATACAGTGGACCCTCGACTTACAGACGGCTCGACTTACAGACTTTTCGAGTTACAGACTTCTCTGGCTGCAAAATTTAGATTCGACTTGCAGCCAGAGAATCGACTTACAGACCAGAAAAAAACCAAAATGGAATAAAAATAGAATAAAAACCACTGGTTATGGGATTAATCGGTTTTCTAGTTTTAAATGAGTTTTCAGCAGAACATTACGAAATTTGTGGCAACTCAGTTAATTTTTTTTAATTGACAGGAGTGAGTCCAAACAGTAATACCATGTTCTGCTGTCAAATGCAATTATCTTAATGTTTCTCTCATTCAGTTCAGCGGTTATGCTAATTATCTCCCACTGTATGCTGCTCCTGAAATATTTTTCTCAAGTAATCAATACAAATTTATATTCAATATAAGTAGTCTAGCAGTGAATGTGAATACCAACGGTCATGAAATTATTGCAGCATCTACCATTGCTGGCTAATTAAGATTTCCCATTTTCTCGTCAGTATTCAAATGTATACTGTACCACGCCGAAAGTTCAGGATTTGGTGGATGATAAATGTCTCCAAGAGGAATGTCTCTCGTATGTCACAAAACCAGGTGAGGAAGGATGGCTGACCTAGCTGAAGTCCTAGCTGTGCCTTGTCAACAGGAAGCCATAGGGAGCTCAGTGGGATCTAGGAAAACATGCATATATGTTATGAAAATATGTGTTGCGGTTTGAGATTAATAATTATTTGTCTGGGATTGCTTGCCATGAGCTTGTAATTATCCTTACCCAGTGTCTTGGCTATTCTTGTTAACATCCTTTTGTATATTTAACATAAAACAAAGGCTTAAAGTACTCTGTTCTATATGTGCCATCTGTTGCTGAAAGAATCATATGTTTAATGTGTTGTATGTAAAATAAATACATTTGCCAGTGGCTGACACTCATATAAAGGAATTCAAATCGTTCTCTTTGAGTGTTTGCACCGCCATTGACAATAGCAGTTCTGGGGACTACATTTGGCAGCATTCATGAATTTGCTTTTAGCCTGGTGTTTGGAATATTAGCCAAAATCTTGTTGTCGTTTGCGTAACTTGTTATGGTTAACTGCAGCTAACTGAGGACATTCTGCAACTCATCTGGGTTGAGCAGTCAGGCATTTGACCAAGACATAATCCCAGTGCCTTGTCAGTTAGCCACACTTAGCCATATGCAGAATGTATGTAAACACCAATAGGATTTTGGTTATTATTTTTTGTTATTTTTAACCTCAATGACATTTGTAAATTATTCACTTTCCCCCACACACACACACACACACATTTTGTGTGTGCCTGTCCACATGCGAAGAGGGGGAGCTGATTTGTAAAACAGCAGACCACACTTTAGACAGGTCTGTTTTGGATCAAAAAATAATGCAGTTGTCACGATTCCCATGTGGCCCCTGCTTGTTTCACCAAACTAAGGAGCTCACGCTATGTGCCCCTCAGCTGTCACCAGTTGATTACATCAACATTACCTATTATTAATAATCGAGGTCCAGGCCATATATCATTCTAAAAGAACCAAATAGAAATGTTACAGATGTAGATACTTCAAGCAATGTTTTTAACTCTTAACAAACATCCTCCTTCATCCACTCTAAACCATCACTTTCCAGCCCAAACTCCAAAACCTTCTCTCTACTCTATCTCAAAACCTGCTGCTGAGTCTTATATCTCATGGCTCCGCCTCTCCAGCACTCCCATTGGTCTATGCAAATAGCATATGAATATTCATGACCTGAGCGAACACCACATTAGTCAATAAATATACAGTAGATTTCCTGTGTCTTCTGGTTGTATGGTGACGATCAAGGACAACTATCCATTGCCAGTCAACTCCCGCTGTTTTACTAAACCTATCAACAAGTCTCATACCAATTATGATGCGCCCCTCATGTGTCCCCAGGTTGTTTCACTAGCCTGAGGCTCATACGTTCTCTCCTTCCTGCTGCCACCAGTTGACCTCTGTCAACATGCTTTTATGAATAGAGAGTGGAAGTGAAGAACAGATTTAAGGAACTAGATTTGGTAGACAGAGTGCCTGAAGAACTATGGATGGAGGCTCGTAACATTGTACTGGAGGCAGCAACAAAAACCATCCCGTAGAAAAGGAAATGCAAGAAAGCAAAGAGGCTGTCCAACGAGGCCTTACAAATAGCTGAGAAGGGAAACAAAATGCAAGGGAGATGGGGAAAGTTACAGAAAATTAAATGCAGACTTCCAAAGAATAGCAGGGAGAGGCAAGAGGGTCTTCTTAAATGAACAGTGCAAAGAAATAGAGAAAAACAAAAATTAATATAAAACCCTGTCTTGTTTTCGGGGAAACACGATACTTTAAATCATAGCAGCTGAAAAAGGCAAAGTGTCTGACGGTAGCGTTTTAATATTTCTGCTTTGTTAGTATAATGTATATGTGTATTATATACAGACTTACATATGTCAGAGAAAGAGTGTCAGATGTTCTGGATAATTTTGTTTTTCCTATAATTTTTATGTAGGTCACAAAAGAGCCAGTCTGAGAGACATTTTCCAACTGTATTGTGGGCTAAGTCCTGGCACAACTGTTCGAGACCTCATTTGTCGCTATACTGTCCAACTCCAGAGAGTGGATGAAAGGTTAGAAGGTCCCCCACCACACACTTAAAAATAACTATTCAGCAGCATTCAGTGGAGATCACCCACCTGCCTTTATGGTGGCCTCTTCACTCTACTGCTTTTGAAAATCTGCGGGGGAAGAGGACTAGTGGATGGAGCTCATGAATTTCACTGAAGAATTCTGTGGACCCTTCCCCACTAATTTAATCACTTCCTTTTGGAGTCAAACCTCCTACTCCTCAGACTGAAAGAGGTGAAATATAATGCTTGATATGACAAGTAGACCTTGAATAAGCAAAATCAGAGTGAGGCTTGTTTTGGTTTATGGGAGGACGTGGCCCAAAGCCCTGTGCAGGGTGAGGCATAGCTAGGAACAGAATGCGGATCTGATGGTTTTAGAGCAAGAATGCTCCTTGAAGCATGACACACAGGGGTCCTTTATCACAGTGATAAAGTTGTGATAGAAGATATTCCAGGGTCCTGTCACATCTTAATCAAGCAGTGATAAAGTTGTGATAGAAGATATTCCATACTTTGCATGTTACACCTGCTATTGGGTAATTTATGTAATAGTCTGGATTATAGTTATTACAGCAAGTGGTTATGATTGATTTTTAGATAATTTTTAATGTGTTCTTTATGATGTGCATTTTAGAAGGGCTGAGGACCACTGATAATATGTCTGTTTAGGAGATGTTTTGAACAGCGTTTAAATCTTCCATTTGCTATCTGTCCTCTGACCTCATGATGTCCAGCTTCTGTGGTGTCAATAACTCTGCTGCTCTTATTTCTAGAAAGTGCTGCTGGGAGGAACTCCTCCTATGGAGGTCCCCAGTTCAGAAGGCTCAGATACCAGAAATGGGTGTTTCTTCCTAAAAGCTTAGAGAATTTTTTCTGGTCAGAGTAGGCAATGATAGGCTAGATGAGCAAATACACTGACAATGGAATAAGGCAGCTTCCAACTTTATAAACCCTGGTTACTCATTAGGGAGTAATCTGTGTGTGAGACTTGAATTTATGTATGTTTTGTTCACTGAATAGAAAATCAGCTTTTGTGCCAAAAGTATGTTGAAAACAAGAAAACAAATGATTCCGTTTGTTCTACTAATTTGATCCTAGAATTAGAGTCGCAGGATATAGTCATCCCTACTCTAGTCTTGTGAAATAATTTTCTGTATTCAGAAATCTGTATTTGCTGAGTTACTGTGTATGTCTGCTGAACAAATTTAAGCCAGTTTAATAAGCATCCTCTCACTTTGAGAACCATGAAGGAGACTAAGGATGCCTAGCAGAAAATTCTCAGCACTCTCACCAAACTACGGTGTCCAGGATTCTCTGGGGAAGACAAAGAAAACTACATGTTATGGGTTCTGTGAGCTCTTTCTTTTGATTCCTTCACTTTAGTACTTGTTTGTTGGTCACCCTCTTGAACCTCTTAAAATATGGTGGTCTTACTGTATGATATACAGTAAGACCACCATATTTACAGAATCACTACCCACGGTTTCACTGATCTGTTTCTTGAAAATATTAAATTAAATTAAAACAACAGAAATAAGCTTTTCTAAGATATATTGCCAGAACTGGCCACAAGAGAGAATCAGAGCCCATGCTGTATAAAGGGGTGATCCCCAACCTTTTCTAAACCGTGGACCTGTTGGGATGGGTAGGGTCCATGGGGGGGGCACCCCCACGTGCAGGTGGGCGGGGTTCACGCACATGCGAGTGGGTGGGGCATGCTCGCAGGTGGGCAGGCATGTGGAGGTGGGCGGGGTGCACTCGTGCACATGCACGAGATGGGCAGGGCACGCACGGGATGGGCAGGGCACCCATTCGTGTGGGCGGGCGTGCATGCGAGGGGGCAGGAAATATGTCTCCACGGCCCGGTCCTGCCAAGACGTGCATGCGGGGGGGCAGGAAATATTTCTCCACAGCCCGGGCTGCAGACTGGGGTTTGGGGAGATCCCTGATACAAAGGGTTTGCTTTTTCATGAAACAGATCCCTCCCATGGATACCATGGTCCCACTGTGGTAAAAAAACAAAACTGCAGTGCACATTCATTGTCCATCATCTATAGTACACAATTGGATGCCCTTACAAAGACAGCTGTTTACCAGACCTGGCACTCTGAATTATGCTACTCTGAACTAGTCTTAGAGCTATACCTATTCGGTTGGACAGAAGTACAACAGAAACGAAGCTCCAAAGTGTGTCATAAATATTGGTTTGCACCACCTTTTAGTTATAATTTTATTCTTCTCTTGTTCAGGAAGCTCATTCAGTTTGGTCTGATGAAAGGCCTTATTCGTCGACTCCAGAAATATCCAGTAAAAATAACCCGGGATGAAAGAAGTCATCCAGCCCGACTCTACACAGGCTGTCATAGCTATGATGAGATCTGCTGTAAAACTGGTAGGTAGCCATCTATCTCTGTTCACCTTCAGCACTATAATGTTGGCCAGAATGTATTTCGCCACTTACACCAACGTAAGTACAAGGGCATGGATTGCAGGAGCAACTTGCCATTATATAACAGATCACTTCTTGCAGTCTTTGTTGTACACCAGACACAAGAGCTGTCAAGGCTAACAAGTGGAAGCTTGTTAACCAGTTGCAATTTTCTCCTAGCTAAAAATCTGTTGTGGAGTTAAACTGGGAGAAGGGCGGTGGCATAACTCACAGCAGCAAATAGTTGTTAATGAATGAGTAGCTGCTTGGATTTCTTTTTGTGTGCCAAGTCACTCAGCTGGCACAAAGAGGAATCCAAGTGGCAAGTTTTTAATTAACCCCCATTTGCCACTATGAGTTACACTGTTGCTCTTCTGCCAGCAAAAGTCCACAACAGGATTTTGGCCACTGTGATACCCATCATTGCACTTATGCCAGTGTTTCTGTTTGCTGTTGTAAATTCTTTTTAAAAACATACTTTGAATATATATGCTGAAAATTCCTCTTTTATATATATGTGCCCTGATATTGAAAAATCCTCCTGTGTGTGTGTGCGTGCGCGCGCGTGCACACACACACACACACACAGGATTTTTCAGTATCAGGGCACATATATATAAAAGAGGAAATTTCAGTATATATATTTAAGGTATGTTTTAAAAAAGAATATACACACACACACACACAAGAGGAATTTTCGGTATCAGGGCACATCCTGTAAGAATATAAATAAGAGACCTTTTTTGACTGCCACAAGGCTTTATTGGGTAGAGTACACTAGATACACGTGCAGAAAAAAAAAGCACTTGGACCTGGGATTTCAAGGTCAGGCTATGTTGATCACAACAAGTTCCTGTTCTGGATTCACCTGAAAATCAGAATTCCAAGAATTGGCACCCAGCCAGCAGCTCCAAAACCTTGAGTGGACTGCCGCTTGTAATCGCATTCAGAAGATTCTCTGAGCTCCATGAATGATGGTCTTACATAAAGTATAAGAAAGAAGGGGAGGAAGTGCCCTGGAGTTGGTGCAGAAAGGAAACCCATTGGTCTTGCTTAACGAAGAAAAAAGACTTAGATTCTAGGTGTACTGCAGAGCATTTCTTATAAAATGCCCTTTTGATCTCAGACTCTTTGTACTCAATCAAAAAGTGAAACTGGTGGCCCTAATCAGGTGTTCAAAGAGGATTATTCTGAACATAGCGGAAGGGAGAGTGATAACATCTACCCACTTCATTATGGAGAAGGACAATCTGAAGAGGAGAGTGTCTGTCACACATGGAGCCATGCGGATGGGAATTTTGAAAAATTAAGGTTCATTGATCGTGGTGAGGGCAGGGAAGGCATCCTCTTATCTCCTGACACATTCAGATTAAGTCTTTTTTGAATGCCAGAACATGTCTAGAATTGTTTTGATTAGACCAGGAACTGGGGAAAGATTAAACAGTTTAAGGAAGTCTCATTCCCTTGTCTATCTCAATGGATTATTTCTGCAGGAAATGTAAAGTCTTTTTTTTCCTAGTTGTATGAGCTTTTCAACCGAAGGCCAGAATTATGCTGGTGAGTTATGCATGCATAAGTTACACTGTGTAATTGACCATGGCAAATAGCCATTGACTAATGAGATACCAACTGCATTATGAGTCACATCCGTAATTGAGTATCCAGCACCTTCTTAGTTAGCAGCAGTTTGCTGCAGTAAGTTATACAATTTAAGTTGTCCATACATAAGTCATCAACAAGATCCTGGCACACATTTCCAGGTAACAGGATTGTATTTGGCATTGAGGTGATTTGGGGGGGGGGGATACAAAACAGAAACAGCTGGCATTGTCTGGCAACTGTTAGCAAATGCAGGTCAATATAGCTGGGCTTTGTTTTACCTGGGAATGATTGTGGAAAGAGTATGTCGTGAATTTGGCCATTCAGCAAAGTTAAAATTCTTCCTTGTCATAGGCTTATTAAATCTTTAGTAAAGTAAAGCGTAAGAGATTGAAAATTTTAGTTTACAGAAGATTGAGAAGAAAATGCTGAGAGTCTCTTGAAGAGGGAAGTAGCAACTGTAAGTTGTCCATACATAAGTCATCAACAAGATCCTGGCACACATTTCCAGGTAACAGGACTGTATTTGGCATTGAGGTGATTCAGGGGAGGGGGAATACAAAACAGAAACAGCTGGTATTGTCTGGCAACTGTTAGCAAATGCAGGTCAATATAGCTGGGCTTTGTTTTACCTGGGAATGATTGTGGAAAGAGTATGTCGTGAATTTGGCCATTCAGCAAAGTTAAAATTCTTCCTTGTCATAGGTTTATTAAATCTCTAGTAAAGTAAAGCGTAAGAGATTGAAAATTTTAGTTTACAGAAGATTGAGAAGAAAATGCTGAGAGTCTCTTGAAGAGGGAAGTAGCTTGGGTGGTTCTAAACATTATTAAGGATAGATATTTGCCTGAAATAAAATAAAAGCCCAGCTGGAATGAAAAAGGGGCAGAATACCTGCTTCAGACCTCCATCTCTAAAACAGGTACCTCTCTTTGCTTATGTCACCTGAGTTCTGTAGATGGCATCATATCACTGTGAAGTATCCTTTTTCCCCATTGCTTTGTGCTTCCTCCTTAGGAATGAGCTATCGAGAGCTGGATGAACGGTTGGAGAATGATCCCAATATAATTGTTTGCTGGAAATGAGTCTCCCAGGAAAAAGGGATGATTATTTCTCAAGTCATCTGGAGGATCAGCTGGACTGCCTGGGACTTTTACATGGCCTTGGGACCTCTTCTGAGATCATTGCAGTGACAAGGCTCTGTCTGTGCGGCATGATGCACATTTTTGATCCATAGTTCCAGAAAAGAGTGTTCTAGATGGACTAGACATCTTTGGGTTATTTCATGGAGATAAAGCATAGATTTCTCTGAAGGGGAGAACACACACATATGAAGGAAGACTGATAGCTGTAAAATAAAAATACAGTTTGAGAAGCATATGATACTGAAATATGGAATAGGAAGGTGTTTAACCTCTTTGTTCACCACTGCTGATCTACACATCTGCTCCCCAGGAGCTCCTCTTGTGGTACCATGTATCATGTTTACGTGGTACCGTGTACAGTGGTGCCTCAGATTACGACCATAATCCATTCCAGAAGATGGACGTAACTCGAAATGGTCGTAAGCAGAAGCACCATTTCCCATAGGAATGCATGGGAATGTGATTAATCTGTTCTGGTGAAAAAAAATACCCCCAAAAAATAAAATAAAATAAAAATAAAACACTGCAGGCCCCATAGGAATTCACTGGGACTGCAAAAAAACCCAAAATAAACAGAGCAAGCCTCAAAGGCACTGGGGCTGCAAAAGACAAAACAAAAACCAAAAATAAACATTGGCTTGCACTGGGAGAAAAAGCACCAAAAAACAAACAACACAGCACAGAAACATAACCCCCCCCCCAACCCAGACCCACCCTGCAAAAACCACCCAGAAGTTTTTAAAAAGCAAAAAGCAGCACCTTATCAGGCGGACCGAAGCCTCCTCTGATGGCACTCACTCCCTGGCGGATGGCGGCCAGCAACAGGCCCCGGTCATCGGCGTTGGGCAGCTGAGGCAGCAGTGGGGACAGCCATGGGGGAGGGGCCCTTACTCATGAGTAGACCCACACCAGGGATGGGCAGGGAGAGTACCGGCTTCCCGCACCCTGCGGCGATCCGGAGCCGCCCCCGCCTCTCCTTCCTCCTCCTGCGCCGCCGCACTCTCCGTCCCTGGAGGAGTCCTTCAGACTCACATTCTATAGATTAAAAAGTTCCCTGACCCCCTGCTCTAACTGTTGGGGCAAAAGAGCTACAAAGAAGCAACCTCTTCACCACCAATGGTTTGAATTTCCTGCCTTTTCTCCCTGCCTTTTTCTGCACTGTATTATATTGCACTTCCTATTTCTCAACATTACAAGTGCATGGTGGTAGACCAAAGGGTCAAGTCAAAAAATTATGAGTCAAGTCAACTTCAAATATCTGGGGGTAGTTCTACAGGCCTTGGGATCTAGGCTTCAGCATAGTAAATTTGTGGCAGATCAGAGGGAAAGATCGGCAAATAGTATAGTAAAATTCCATCCC